GACGAACTGTACGCTCTTGAAAATCTAGAAAACTATCTATGAAACATATCATTTGAAAGAGGAGTGACTTAAGCGTTAAAAAATACGCTGCTGCTGATTTATTTAAAACTGTTATGGTTATTTCGAAGTAGTTGCAGCGTCAATTTTGATGAATGACGACCCCTGCTACGAGTCAGTTGATCCATCGATCGATTGATGAATCGCGTGAGCTACGAGATCTTGAACTTCGGGAGGAGCGATCTTTCTTGAGGGGACTGACCTCGTAAATATAGATACGAAGCCGCGATAGATTCGGTGACAGTGAATAATAGCAGTCGTTGTTGCTTTGTCTAGTTCTAGCGATCGGCGGGATCGATTGTTATGTAGGTAAAGGCGCGAAGAATCATGGAAAATTTGTGCGAATTATTTTCGTGATTCTTTTCATGTATGTTCCTTGTATGCGATGGGATGAGATATTGGAACTGAAAGATTCATTTCAAGACTGAAGAACGTATGTCTGAATGGAAACGAAACCCCTCGGAATATCGACGTTCTTTTAAATTCGATGAGAACTTTGGTACGTAATGATTCTATTGAGATTTGATTTATCATCGTCGTCATAATAAAATAAAATTTCAAAACACATGGCTCGAGATATATCCACCGTGACAGACTTATAAGACTTTAATTTCGAAAGTTTAAAACACTCTTAAATGCAACTTAATGCACGAAAGACTATCGAAAAGACGCGCGAAACGCACGATATTACGAATATCCGTCACAGAAGAAAGAAAGGGAGAATCGAAAGTGAGGAACAGCCGACGAGTACGAAGATTATTTACCAGAGAAGCCTCTGAACTAATTCCTCGCTGTTTAAACAGCGCTGTCGCGTAAAGCGAGGGTTACGTGCGAATGTTTTCAAGGGGATAAATTCCGAGGTCGTACACACAGGGCCCGGTTGTAGTCGCTCGAATTCGCTCGAATCGCGACTGAAGTTGAATCAAGACGTTTACGGATGCGACTACGATTCGGCACCGCGTGTAAGCAAGCAGTCGCGTGAAACACGTGAATCACGCTTTGCCGCTGGCCTGAACTGAAAGCGTCGCGTGCAAGAACCCGCAAGGTAAACAGGGATGATCCTGCTGGCGTGATGCACGCCTAAAGCAATGGGAATTGAAACCCGGTACAGTTTTTGAAAATTAACGCGCTTTCTTACTTCTCGTCCTGTGCGTGCGTGGTTGCATTCAAGAACGTTGCGGTTTCAAATGTCCACTAAAATACGCGTTATCGAGAAATTAAGGATCCATTTTCATTATTTTCTTTCGCGATTTCTTTTCTTTTTTCCCATATATTATACGTGACCTTTTTTTTTATACATCGGTATATTACTTGTGTTATGTACTACTTATGTATTGAATACATTTTTTATTGCATACTCTTGTATATTCGGGGATTTTCAGAACACTATGAAAATGTTGCTTTCGCGTAAATCGTTCGATCGAGATACAGGATGTTTAAAGTCGATATTTCGCTACAGGGTTGAGTAAAAGATTTGAAGAACTCTTCGGTATTGATCCAAAGTCAATATCATCATAATATGCGGCTCTTGAGACTATACAATTTTCGTTTGAAACATGTTTTCGTATTTTCAATACTTGTATTATACACTACATTTATTAGAATGTTGCAGATGTGTCAGGACGAAACATATTCCTGTTTTTTTTTTTTTTATACGCGATATTAATATACAGGAGTGAATAAATAGCTGAAATGAATCCTTCTATAATTAAACAAAATTCTGGTCGTAATTAATTGTAGCTATTTACTCCAATTGAAAATCTGACAACTAATAATCGTTACAAATCATTCATTTGACGTGTTAATGAAGTACAGTAGATATACAATGTGCAACTAACTTACATGCATGATGTTACAGAGTTGAAATATATCATCTTTCATTTGCCGAATGTTACGGATGAATAATTTTTGACTCGACGAACATATAAAAAAAAAAACGACATGATTTATATAAAAACATATTATTAATAAATATTTCACTTTTAGCAATTGCGTTGCGCTGTTTAAAAATTCGATTGAGAGAATCGTGAAGTTGGCCAAATAAATTTCACT